GACCACGGACCCCCGCCGCCAGCAAACAAGCCACAGGATGCTCGTCGAGGCAGCCGAGAAGCCAAGGCCATGGGTTTAACGATGTTCCGCAGGTGGGTGCGTTGCCGACAGCTCCAAAACATGTTCCAGATGTTGTTTATCAGAAGCCAGGTTTTCTTTTCAGAACCTGTTGGTGTTAGCTGAAGCTTGCAAGCTATTTTTATTTCAAGAGTCGAAGTGCATACTCCTTGTTCATACCTTGCCAGTCCTGGATACCAACGCACTTTGTTTTGGTATAGACCCTTTTGGGGGAGATTCAGGTCCAAGGTAAACATGCACACGCAGCTCTAGAGTGAAGTCATGGCGAGTTTTTGAACCGAAATCCTTTTTGTGGCAGGCTGCTGCGCCACGCCCGGCAAGTGTCCGCAGGGTCGCCCAGAAAGCGAAAGCTAGTGAGGGAACATCGCCTGATTTGAAATTGTGTTTCTTTTTGGTGTGTATGCTTGCGATTGATTCCTTTGCATTCCTTGTAGCTGGAATGTGGAGGTCTAAACAATTCGAGCCATACACCTATGCCTGGCTGGAACGTGTTGCTGTCATGTTGTCAGAGGTGTGAGCTCCGCCGCAGAGACGCATGGACCCAAGCGGGTTGGCTTTGTAGTCGCTGTGCAGCCAACAGCTTTGTGCAGAGATGGCAGCGCTTGCCTTTAGTTTGGACTTGCAAATTTTGCAACAGTGCGTAGCATTTTCGCACGGCAGGCCGGCGCCCACACAGTCACCAGCACGAGGCATAGTTAGTAAATCGGTGAAGCTGCAAAACTTGCTATTACCACACCCCAGTGAACATTCCATTCTGGCTTGGATTGAGCATGACATACGCAAGCATCACCATGGATAGACTCATGTTTCTGTTATCATAATTTGATCTGATCTGATCAGCTTTGTGCAGGTGGCGTGGCAGGGTCCAGCGGGGACCGCTTCCTTCCTCGTGAGGCTGGACGTGGAAAAAAGGTGTCACCGTCAGACGGCAAGATGTCACTGTGTCGGACCTACTTTTTGCCGACATTCCAGTGGAAAGCTGCTAGATTGGACGTGTCTTGGTGCTAGATACTTCTTTGATGTCTCTCAAGAATCTCAGCATCCGAGACACAGCTCGTCATGCTCGACAATATCCTGTGTATGTTCAAGGGTCTGCCAGAACCCGGTCAAAGCTGCACTTTCAGTGCCGTCGTATTGCTTGCGGAGTGGAGGGGGGGGGCATTGATGGAGAATACATTTTTGCAACCGTGAGTTTGGGAGGCTGTGTGTCTGAATTGTAATGTGGACACTGCCCAGACTGTTTCGTCAGCACGGAGGAGGGAGAGCACTCTGGCGCCAGCCTTGTGTTGTCAGCAGATACATCTTGATTACCTGCTGTTGAGATTCTCTTCTGGATCTTCTAGTTTGCGATTGTCAGAGTTTGTTTTTGTGAGCTGAACTTGTGGTCTCCCGCGTAAGGCCGGCAGTTCTGCCAGACGCAGTCCGGCCCGTGAGGAGCGTCGAGCAACGGCCTCAGGAGAACTGTGACTTCAGAAGCTGGATTTTCGTGCCCTGCCTAGGGTGCAGCGCAAACGACGTCAGGGCCTGAGTGACCGCCGGACCTCTGTGGTTCTGTTTGCGCGATTGGTTTGCCAGGCAACCTCCACCTTCGCCTCCACCGAAGAAGGCAGTATTGTGGGACATGAGCAGTCACTGCGCAGCATCCACTCACATGAACTTTGCGCTTCCGACATTGTTTTGGATATATTTATACTGCATCAGGTTTATTGACCCATGTGCAGGGCAATCGCTACATTGCCAGCCTGAGTGTGAAGCAACAACGAGATCAAGAGTGATGTCCCTTCTCAAAATCAACGCTTGACGTGCCCAGGACGACAAAGAAGCTGTGAGCCCAGCGATGGTGCAGCCGCAGGCACGTTGGGTTGGGAATTCCGCGACGGGTCGTGTTTCCGGTTTTTCTCTCTTTCTCTGCTTGTGGACTTGAGATTTCGGGTTGCAGGCCAGCAGCTTCTTTGCAGCGCTGGAGCCTGGGGCGCCGGTGCCACCACCACCGCCGGGCTTGGAGAGGCGGGAAGAGCTGGATTTGGAGCACGTGCACGCTGTGAGTTACTTTCCTTGTGGACATCAGAATTTGTATCGGAGTAAACTTTAAACATTCGAACGAAAGGCACCGGTGCTTTTCGCGGGATTTGTTTTCCACGGGTGTGCACTGCCATTTGCAGGCAAGAGGGCGATGACGGCTTCGGGCCCCCTCCAGGATTGGCTGGCCCCATCCTAGGCTGGAGAGATTGGCGTGCTTTGCATTTTTTGCAGTGTTATGTGTTCAAAGTGGCTGGCAGACAATCAGAGCCTACTTTACTCGCTATGCTGCTTTGCAGTGATACGTCATGATACAAACCTGGCTGCGGGCTTTGTTCGAGTGTAAGCCGACTTGCACACTTGGAACCTTGGACATGGAATTGTAACCAAATGAGAGTGGGCTTTCTAAAGAATTCCAGGAAGGTGGTGTGGAGTTTGTGCTTTGTCTGGGCAGGTTTACCGGACCTTTTCGCCTCCACGCGAAAGGACTTTATGGAGGCTGGTTTGTTGATGTTGTTTACCTGATGAGCGAATTTGCTCACGTCCCTCCCGCCAGGCGTCGATTGGTACAGGCTTTGAAACAGACACCACCAGCTTGGACGAAGAGGCAGATGAGCTGTAGCCGTGTGCAGATGGAGCTGTAGCCACGTCTCAGATTGAGGTGGAGCTGCTTCGATGTGAGAAAGACCTGGTGGAAGCCGCTGCGGAGCTAGGCAGGGAGTTCGGAATGGCACAGCCGCACAGCCCCCTTTTCCAAATCTGCGGATGTGTTGATTCGAGGCATTCCCCTTATTTTGGGGCTCTATTTCTGAGGCACTACGACCTCAGCAGAGGATGACCTTCTCACTGATCCAGACATGGACGAGGAGGAAGACGGCCGTAGCCTCAGCAAAGCTTGTAGGGCGTAGTTCAGTTGGAGTCCGGGTGTTCAGGGCCTTTGCCGTGTGCTGAGGCCTCGCCGCAAATGAACCCAAGCCGGAAGCTCAGAAGCTCAACGTGTTCAAGCGCAGTGTCATGGGTTTCAATGATTCGTCAGAGATTCAGCTTGCGAGCATAGTGTCGGCAGCCACAGACAAATCTCAGAAAACTGACTGCAAAGTTCGCACCATAGAAGCCAAACAACGTCCAAGTCAGAAAGCGTGGACGATCACCAACTGCAACTCAGTACCTGCGATTCAGCAACTATGATTGAGCATTTTTTCCGCGCGATTGAGCACTGAAGCAGCCCTGGCCAAATGCAAAGAGCACTCGCCCAAGGCATCAGCTTCTGTTATGCATCCCTGGACATGACCAGAATACCCGCCGGACATGCCCAGTTCTCTATTGCACCTGCAGCCAAGCGATAAGAACACTCACCACAGACACAAGCCAATCCCGGTTGAACAATCGAACGTTTTCACTCTCCTGGATTTGTTGCTAGTTGTTGCTGAATCCTTGCCAAAATCCACCCGGTTTTGGCTGCCCAGCCCTAGTTGCCTGATCCGCCTGACGGTTGCCGACTGACTAGTCGAGCTGCCAACTGCATCGGTCGAAAGTTTGCACTCGCCCACCCAAGGTTCAGGCCTTTGCTTCACCGTCCAAGCGTTGCGAATGCTGTGATTGAGGAGGAGACAAGGGAGACAGATTCCAGAGCAGCATGAGTCCGTGGCACTGCCATGTTGCGTCCGACTGTTCACGGCCTATATACTTCTGCAGACACTGGACCAAGAAGGGCCGAAGCCAGCACATAGATTAGGGGTTGGAAGATCACCTGTATTTTACCAGAAAGCACAAAGTGTTGTTTCCTTTAGATCATGAAGTATATGTATTGCATTGCCCTTGCCATGGAGTGCATCAATCTGCTTGGCTGAGCTGACGTTCTTGCAGACGGCTGGCAGCCTTTTTGTTGCATGAAGTGGGAGTTGGAAAGAATCGCAGACAGTGCTGATTTTACACTGCTTCTCCAAACTTTACTGGATAATGGCAGTCAACAGTTGACAAGACTTTCAGCTGATTTCCTCTTGCCGAGGCAATGCTGCTGCCGAATCTGCAAGTCGCATCAGCTAGTGTCCTTGATACTGGGGAATCCTGGAAAACTACCATGGCTCATTTGCAGCGTAGCGCCACAGGTGAGGCACTCAAATATCAAGTCAGTGAGCATGTGCTGTCTGTAGAGCAGCCAAGTCCAACTTTAGCTCAGCATCCAAGCAAAACAGACTGTCGCCCCCCCCTCCCCAACATGCTTCAAAGTTTCAGGGCCCAACATGCTTGCAAGCATCATGCTGCTGACGCTGGGAAGCTGTAGCTGTCTCTGTGAACATATTTGTGCAGCATGCGTTATTGATGAGTCATGCACGACAAACAAGGTGCCGAACAAGGACTTTTTGAAAAGCACTAAGAGCAGCTGAGAAGGACACAGACACGCCTTACAAGGGTTTACTGGTTTACTGGCACGAAAGTCTGCACGATTCGGGCACAGCCCTAGCACACAGCTCCTTGTCACATTGTCGGGACGCACACATGCTGCAACAGATTACACCTGATGACAGATTACACCTGATGCAGGGGATGCAGCTGGAGGACTTTGAAGGATCTCTTGGACATGGATACAGTGGGCAGGTTCGTAAAGCTTGTCATCGACTCTTGAATGGGGATGCCAGCATGGCGATGGCAAGATTGAGATCGCAGCACAAGCATTTGGTCAATCAGACATGTTGGTGCATTCCGGTTTTTGATTGACAACTACCTCTTCACGCGTCTTTGACCATGTAGTTAAATCACAAAACATACTCAATGTGACCAAGTTGGTATAAGCAAGAACAATCCAGCCCTGTGTTGGTGTAGTATTGAAGTGTGTGGGCTGTTCCAGAGTACGCTTTGTGTTCCGGTTCTGCCGATTTTGATCCTAGGGGTGCGGCTGTGCCATGGAGGCAGAGGCGGGGTGCGCTGCGTGCAGCGCCAGCGCGTGGCGCGTAGATTTTGCGCTTCAGGCGGCGCTGGACTTCACACCGCTGAAGCCCGATGAGTTGCACTTGGCGATGCTGGCCACAGAGCACCCGGCCATCCAGGCTTCGCATCGCTTCAGGTGAGAAGCGCTGTGGCGCATGTCATGGCTGTGTTATCAATCCACATGGGAGTCGTCTAAAGGTCCTTGTCTTCTGGTATGAACGGGAAGACCTTTTTGTCTTGGTCAAGGTCGCGCTTTTTGTTTTTCCTGTCGAGAGTTTTGTGTAATTTGCTAAAAGGCGGGGGTAATGATGAACAAGGTGTATTTGCCGGCAGTGCGCGCAGCATGGACGAAGTTAGTCGGAGGAAGGCTCGGCCTGAGGATTAAATTGCGTCGCTACAAAGGCAAACCCCAGCAGAAAGCAGCTTGTTGGAGTTTTGAAGCCTTCAACTTCCCAGCGAAGATTTCAGTATCGTTTGGCGAGCGATCCGTAAAAGTTCCGCCGAAGTCGATGGACCTTCCCGCCATGGGTGGCCAAGCGGACCCCTCCTGTGCTGTTGCGCGGCTTTCGAGCTGGGGCTGCGGAAGTGCTCTTCGATCTGAAAAGTTGAGACTTAAGTTTGTTGGGAGTTTCAAGCCGGACCGCGGAATTGTACTTTGCGTGCTGCTTTTGTGATGGCTGTCGTGAAAATAGCCCCGCGAAAGATCAATGGAGGCCGCGAAAGTTGTTCTGCGAAGATGGTGTTTCTGGGAACGGAATTTCAGGCAACGGCCACATCAAGCGTGAGGAATGACTCCCCTGCTGCACTGCTGCTCTTGTTAGTTCCCGGCCACCATCCGATATTCACTCAAACCGTCCCAGATAATTGGCTACTGGCCTACAAGAAGTGTTTGCGCCCAGAGAATGCTGTGCAGGCTTTTGGCAAGGCTGTCGAGGCCCACGTGGAGGAGTCTGAATAGCATGAGCCTTTGAGGGACATGCCTTGACTTTAGTTGGATGCTTTTGCATGAAAGGGAGGGGTTGGGCCTGTTTTCGCGTTGGTTACAAGGCAGTTTGTGCTGTCATTAGCACGGCAATCCTCGACCTTGACCCAACATGTTGCTTCTTGTCAGCACGAAGGCTAGCCAGCGGACTTTCTTGCAATAACTGCCAGGACGCAAATGCGCTGCTTAGTATTTGTGCACCGTGGCAGGCTGGCAGACTTCTCTTGATCTTTTTTGGACGCATCCATTTCAGGTTGCAGTATGCCATGGCTTGCAACGCCCCTTGACAGGAGGCCAACAATTTTCCCAAGGAGGCTTTGCAGAAGTACAGGCCGCATGTGGTTTGACATGGGACCAGGCAGAAGCTTGTAGGAGCTGAGTTTGAAGATTTACTCATTCAGAGAAGTGGTTGCCATTCCAGGCAAAGGCAAGATGGGTGTAGCCAGCAGCAACAAATCACAGCTGCTTTACTGGAAGGATGTGAAAGCTAAAAGCGGCCATGTCACCATGGGCTTGCGTGCCTATACGTACAAACATATATTCTGCATATCATTTGTGTGTTAATGTTACTTGAAGTCAACCAGGGACAATGCGAACAGACACTGTCCACAGCTTGTCTTCCCGAGAGGTTTGCCCAAGAGGTGGGGCTGGCTATGCTACGGCAGGTGGAGAAGTTGGCAGCTTGCTTGGAATGGGCCGCGCCATTCGAGTCCAATGTTTTTAGAACGATCGCAACATTGCGCTGCTCCTTTGCCTGCCCGCCTGCCCGCCTGCCCGCCTGCCCGCCTGCCCGCCTGCCCGCCTGCCCGCCTGCCCGCCTGCCCGCCTGCCCGCCCGCCAGCAGCCAGTCAGTCAGTCAGTCAGTCAGTCAGTCAGGCAGCCCGCCAGCCAGCCCGCCAGCCAACCAGCCAGCCAGTCAGTCAGTCAGTCAGTTAGTCAGTCAGTCAATTAGTCAGTGAGTCAGTGAGTCAGTCAGCCTCTGTGTGTTGTTTTCGTTTTGCTTGCTGGCTTGCTAACTGGCTGGCTCGCTGGCTGGCTCGGTGGCTGGCTCGCTGGCTGGCTCGTCTGCTTTGCTTTGCTTTGCTTTGCTTTGCTTTGCTTTGCTTTCTTTGCTTTGCTTTGCTGATGCACTGTGTATACTTGTCATGATGCGCTCAGTCTCCTGCTTAGTCAGATCACCCTGAGACAAATTGTCAGGACTCCATCGACCTGGACAACCTGAAGCCTTCCTGGGGTGATCGGGACAGGGTCGCAACAGTTTTGGATTAACAAGTCTTAGAAGCTTGGATGATTTGTATGCCTTTGATTTTGTAGATCAGTTGCGCTCACCTGAGAAGGCTTGGGTGATTTGGATTTGTGCCATGTGGGCTGCGACGCTTGGATTGTTCGCACGGCACCTGCTTCCACCACTCATCCAGAAATGCTGCCAAGATCCATGTCCACCAATGCCTGCCTCACCCGCATCATCACCATGGCAGCGCCAAAAATAGCCATGCATACGTCGCCAAACAGCAGCTTGCAGCCACTTTTGCACTCGGCCTGCACTGGCTCGTTCAGACTCGCCCAGTCAGCGCTTGGACGCATTGCCCGCGGCATAATTGGCGCTGGCCTCCACCGCCCCGCTCCACGGGCGGAGCATAAGCTGTAAGAAACAGCAAGCTACTTGCATCTTGCAGCGCCAGCCAGTGACAACTTCAACACCGAGGCCAGCCCAAGCGCATCCCGAATGATGCTGGTGATGCTGCCCGCGCAGAGGAGAGGCTTTCAAATGATATGGGTCGGCGGCTCCATAGCTGCCAGACCAGCGTCCTCTGCAGATGCCCTCGACATTTGCATTGGCAGAAGTCCCTCCAAGCAGCGTGCAGCTGGAAGGAACGGTCTCTCGCCATTCGAACCGCTGGGCGCGGCAACAACGAGCCGCTTTTCATTCCAAACACCGTATGTATGCGAACCCAAGTGTGACGAGAGCCGGGCTGCACAAGCTGTCTAATACACGAAAACACAGGGGTCGACGAATCAGAGTGAGCCAGGACACAGTTCGCGCATCTCGGCGTGGTGCTATCGCTTTTGCGCAGTGCGTGATGGATCGTCTAGATGGCTTGCAGGCACAGAAGCAGTTGTGGAAGACGATGCAGTGCTTGGAGTCATTCAGTAACATCACTTGGCGCTTTTCGTATCGGTTTTCCTGTAGCGTTTTTTCTTGTGTGACAGGCTTTACTTGCAAGCCCGGCAAACAGAATCAAGGAGGCCTGGCTTCAGTGCTGCACTTTTTCGACGGCACGCAAGTTTGTCTCAAGCCGATCTGCCAGGAGCAGAGTGTGGTAACGGACACGCTTGAGCCGAGCCTCCAGGAATTTGGAAGCGAGAATTGTGTAGTGCCTTTGCACAAGTGCAGTTAGACAAGTTTTTAAGCCACAGGTTTTCTCTTGTCTTCGCTGTTGGGAGTTTGTACGGCACTTGGATTGACGCTGACGAGGAGAACGGAAGTTTCCACCCAGCCAAATTTCCTTTTCACTCAGTGCGCCAGTCTGCCAACGGAACATGGTGAGGACAAATACAAGGAGCACTTCTTGGCACAGTCTGCAGCAGCACCACACTCAGCTCGCATGCATCACGCATGCATGCTTGTGGACACGTAATACCAATGCTAATGCAGTGCTGAGCAATGCTAGTGGAGTGCTCAATCTTTCTGATTCGTTGCTTGCACATTTATTCATGTATTGTGAGTCGTGTAATGTGCTGTACTGTATCGTACTGTACTGCACTGTACTGTACTGCACTGTACTACTGTGCTGTACTGTACCGAGAGGATATCATTTACGGCAGAAAAGGGACAAAAGGAGAGTGGACATATCAAGCCCATTACTTCATGTGCGTAGGCGCGCTAAGCCGCTTTTTTACATTGGCTGGGGAGCTTGGGCCGCGCTGGCTCGACCTGACAGTTTGTTTGTAGGCGCCCGCGTACGAGTTTGAACACGAAATCACACACCCACACCCACACCCACATCCACACCTACACCCACACCCACACGCACACGCACACACACACTGTGACACACACACACACACAGCGTAGGCCCTGTGAGAGCAAAACTTAAAGCGCGTGCAGGAGTAACCTTGTGTAGGCCGTCCTGCACTTGTGACATGTTCGATGAGACGTGCTTTCCTGGCTTACATTGCAAATGTTTTTACTCCCAAGGTTCTGTCCGATCGAGACGGGGCCTCCAGGCCTGCCAAGCGTCAAAGGAAAGCGCCTGCGACCAAAGCTGAAGTCCAGGCGGGCTCTGGCCATGTCGTATGTTTTGCTAAGCGGGTTGAGCTGCCACTTTGTGTCCGTGTGCCACACCATGTCGCAGCGTCGCGTGCCCGTCCTGAAGCGTCAGTTGCCAATGTGCTTGGCAAGGCTCTGCTGCGGAAGATCCGCGGCACACGCGACGTGCTCCGGCAGCCGAACAAGGCGAAGCTGTGGGCTAGCCGTGAGCAGACCGTACTTTGGTCAGAGTCACATGTCAGAGCTGGCATGTTGTCGCATTGTTCATTCACAAGTCGAGTGTACATTGGCGCAGGCATTTTATCGCCGCCTGCTGAACCTGGCGAGCCAGGACTTGCCCAACAGTCCCACGCTATGCAAGGAGAGCAGTGGGCCTAGAGGGCCTAGAGCCTCTTGAGAGTTCAGAGCTGTCAGGATGCAAGCGAGTGCATTCTGGATGCTGCTACCTGTGCTGTGGAATCCGCTCCAAGCGGCAAAGTCCTGGGAAAGCTGTTCCATGCCTTGCAGCAGCTACAGGCCTCGCAGACGCATTTCTTTTTCCTTTTGCCGTCACGTCTATATTTCCATCGCCCCTTGCAGCCTGTGGGCGTATGGCTGTGAAGGCATCTGCAGCATCGGAACCTTGACTGCACCAGTGAGTTGAACTGGCCATCGCTGCCATGGCCGCCTTCCAATGAAGCCTGTTTTGTTCTATAGATGCTGCCACCTCTAGCAGAACTATTGATAGCATCGCCAAAGTGCCAGCAACCACAGAACTAAAGCCCATTACGGGCTTTCTGGTACTTGTCCTTTTCTTTGCAGTAATGCTGTTGTGCCTGAAGCCGATTTTGCCCACGTCAACGAGTGAAAGAATGAAAAGGCGACAGAGGTGCCGCCCCTGCCCATCTACTGTAAAAGTGCTTGTCTATCTGCTTGACCGATAATATGCTTCCCTCCAATATGCTAGTGGTATGCAAACTGTTGATATTGTAAAGAAAGGTACCACACAAAAGCCCCGAATTCATGGTGGTCAAGCTGCGCTGAAGCAGAACCAAACCTGGGTTGCTGGTAGCATTGGTCATGAACTGCAGACAAATCAGTTGTCTTTGTTGCTGCTAGTTTACCGGCCCTTTTGGCAAACTTGGCAGGAAGAGCAACTCTGCTCCTGCAACACTTTTTGAACCTTGCCTGAGAGAGCCAAGGACTTGCCAGGCATTCTGCTGGACATGGCAGATGCAGTGAGGGGCTTGCCATAATCAAGTAGCTAGCTTTCGTTGCAAGCGAGTTTCATTGAGAAAAAAATAGCGCTCGAAGGTGACTGCTTGCCTCGGAAACTTTCTGCCGTCGTGCCTCATAGTTCTCTCATCTCAGGAGGAGGACGAGGATGCCTGCTCTGAGAATGACCCAACAGACAGTTTTGAGGCGTGTCAACAGCTTTCTGCTGCCTGCCATTGCACTGCTTGCAGACTGCCTTCACACTGCCATCAGCTCTGCCATCGAATCGACACTTTACTGGATGAAGATATGTCCTGATGCGGAGGCGGACAGTTCACAGGTGCGCAGCCGCCTTTGGGCGCGGAGCCCTGGCCCAAAGCAGCTTCAAGTATGCATTGAAATGAGCTGCCTTCTCAGTTCGGGGAGAATAACGAAGTTTCACAATCAGCCGCGGCTTTGAAAGACCAGATGGATGGCGTAATTCATGCAATCGGCGCAATCGGCGCAATCCCAGGGGTTCTGACAGGCCCAAAGCCTGCTGCGGCTTCGGCGGTCCATCGATGAAATTTACTTGCTGCTTGGCATAGAGCCATCAAAGCGGTGAAGCGGATAGTTCCTAGCTCTGCTAAGGCTTTGCGAGTTCGAAAGTGTCACGGCCCTAACTTGGGATCAACGACAGAAGGCATACCACAGCATACAACTGCTCTTGCTCAGCATGATTTTGTGCCGCAATTGTTGGGTCCTGCAGTCTTCAGCAGAGGTGCCAGGGACTTCAGTTTGAGGTCATTGGGCATTGATTTTGAATTCCTAGGATGAAGGGCTCACGGAGCAAGTGCAGAAGATTTTGCAGCAAGCCGGCAAGGCAAGGCCTGCGACATGTGAGAACAAGAAGCGAAGCCAAAGCGATCCAGAGGGTTTGACAATCAGGATTTCGGCTCCCTGATGAAGCAGTTAGATGATCAGCAGGAGCGGCCGACCGGCACGAGAGCACTCATATGGGTTGCTTTGCCGCTCTCTTTAGCAATTCCAAGTTGCGGGACAAGCTTTGCACTGGCAGGAGTACCACCTGCTCCAGGGTGAGTACCCTTTCAAGTCTGGTGTGGCCGCAAACTCGAAGGTCATGCAGTGCCAAATATTGAACATTAAATGCAGTTGCATGGTACACTGTGCGCAAAACACACACACACACACACACACACACACACACACACACACACACACACACACACACACACACACACACACACACACACACACACACACACACACACACACACACACACACACACACACACACACACACACACACACACACACACACACACACACACACACACACACACACACACACACACACACACACACACACACACACACACACACACACACACACACACACACACACACACACACACACACACACACACACACGCACGCACGCACGCACGCACGCACGCACGCACGCACGCACGCACGCACGCACGCACGCACGCACGCACGCACGCACGCACGCACGCACGCACGCACGCACGCACGCACGCACGCACGCACGCACGCACGCACGCACGCACGCACGCACGCACGCACGCACGCACGCACGCACGCACGCACGCACGCACGCACGCACGCACGCACGCACGCACGCACGCACGCACGCACGCACGCACGCACGCACGCACGCACGCACGCACGCACGCACGCGCACGCACGCACGCACGCACGCACGCACGCACGCACGCACGCACGCACGCACGCACGCACGCACGCACGCACGCACGCACGCACGCACGCACGCACGCACGCACGCACGCACGCACGCACGCACGCACGCACGCACGCACGCACGCACGCACGCACGCACGCACGCACGCACGCACGCGCGCACGCACGCGCACGCACGCACGCACGCGCACGCACGCACGCACGCACGCACGCACGCACACACACACACACACACACACACATACATACACCAGAGCTACTGGTCTTGGAATCTGGACATGAGGCGTGGACAACCCGGCCCTGCAAGGGCGGCGAGTCCATGGCGGAGCAATTTGAGAAGGTCCCGGACTCTGATCAGAGTATATTATAGATTCAGCGGCCGACAGAGCAACACAATCTGCGGCATGGTTTCATGGATCAGTGGATCAGGTGCAGCAAGGCTCTCCAATCAATGCGTGCACCCTCCTGGTTTTTTGCTTGAGCGGATGCAGCTTGCGGGCTTGAGGTAGGCTTCAGTCCCACTCTTGACAGCTTGCAAAGTAGCAACGAGCCAGACTGTCTTTGGCCGCTGAAACCGCCATGCTTGTCAGCTTTGCCAGGAGCAGGTTCAACAGCAAGGCACGTGGGCTGTCAGGTGTTCTTGCCTTACAACATGCGCTGAGTATTGGATATCTATTTGGTTGTATGATGCATGCGTCTCTTGCCAGTGTTTGCCTTTGCCGCATCCCACTTGCTCGCTGTTTTTTGTATGATTGTGTTGTGGATGAACTACCGATTTTCATGTTCGGGAATTCTGGTTCTGAGAAAACGGTTTTGGTTTGGTTTGTGATGGCATCCTTTTCTCATAGCACTGCCAACAAGGTGCTTCATATTGTGTCTTAGCACAAGGCAGAACCAGTAGGCATTTTTTCTTCGCACCATGAGCAATTGAGGATGTCCAACAAAAGGTAGGATACTTATAAACATGCTCTGGGTTCTCTGGCACCGACATTGTATGCCAGGAGAGATCTTCAAAGCGGCCAAACTCCAGCGAAAGCAGGCAGCCAATCCATTCTCGAGTCAAGAAGTAAGCTTTGGCATCGCTAGGCGCCGTGGTGCCTGGCTTGAAGAGTACGAGGCAGGGTTCAGTTTTGGTTTGCGAGGGGTCGACTGATCCACTGAAGCCACATTACGTGTGTAGAAAAGCTGTTCATCGCGACAGTGACAGTATGTCAGGACAGCACCTTCAGCGACATGATGCAAAGTGCCTCCTTTGACGAAAGGCTGGTTTGGTGCTTGAGAAAAGCAGATGCTCGATATGATTTGAGCGCCACTTCCAGCATTTGTGCCCACCCCTATCCGCCAGGCAGGAGGGCAAAGACGACCAAAGTGTAGGCGGGTGAGCAACAAGCTGCGGCGTTCGGATCACTTAGGCTTGACTGTATAATACAAGATACGTTTCCGAGGAGAATGCTGAGGAGAATGCTTGAAACAACATTCTCCCTGCACCAAAACAGCAAAACTGCATGTGACGTCAACAAGGCAGACAATTTTGCAGAGGCAGCCAGAAGTGTTTGAGGGACAAGATGCCATTTGCTGGAATCAAAACCATCACCTGAGTGCTGTCAAGGCGCACAGACGGAGTGGGATGCTCAGAGAGAAATTGGTGCCACGCAAGAGTGCAATCTTGTGTCCCACCTGTGGCCTTGTGCGTGGCATGGCCCGTGCAAGTTACATGAGCTTGATGCATTTGGAGTAAAGACCCAAAGCGATGCAGAACGATGCCTTCAACCGCCCATCAGCGGCTTGCCTGACAGCTTGCAATGAGCTTCGAGGCCAAAAGCCAAAGACCGCAGCAGCCAACTGTACTCCATGGTCCAGCGCGATGCTTAAAACTGCGGGCCTTCCCGCCTTAATTGCTTTCAATTGCATCCTGCTGTGGCTGGCTTTCCGCCATGTCCGATTGAAGGAAGTCTCAAATTGAACGCCAGATTCTACAACTGACATGCAGATCCATATCCAGAGGTTTGTGTATGTTGCTTTGCTGTGATCATGCAGAGGTCGACTTTGGAGAAGGTGCACACGCGACTAGGACGGAAGAGCAAACATTGCACATTCAATGCCAAGCAGCGGTTGATGATGAATTATACACAACCCAGCCAGGCAGTGCCTCAAAGCCCAGTCCCGAGGCGCCATCCGAGAGTGATGCGTGGGCAGTTGTATCTCTGCGCCAGGATGATGTGGTTGTTTTATGCTTTTGCTCTTGTTCTTGCAGTTTTTCTCTGTTGATTCTTTGCTGATAGTATTGATGACTGCGCCCTATTTTTGGCCCACATCGTTTTGAGTTTGGCTAGGAGGTGCAAAAGCGGCATGAAGCGCGACAGAGGCCAGGAAAGAGGAAACAACTGGACCTCACAAGCTTCAGACGCACTACGTGAGTTAGACTTCACTGCGCAGGCGCGCACAAGCTCGCCGTGCGGTGCAAGACGAGGAGCGGCAATTGCAGCTGAGGCGCGCTACATACGTTACATACGTTACGTACATTACATACGTTAGTTGCTTAGAGCGACACGGAGGCAAGCAGAGGATCGTGCTGTGGCAGCTCGAGAGCGGCGCCAAGAGCAGGAGATGCGCCGGCGGGACTCGCAGAATGAGTCAGAGCGTGCCAATGTATCAGCGAAGTCGAAAGTCGAAAGACATGAAGACTTAGACTCATGGACCAGGCAGAGAGATCTGCTGGAGAAGATGACGCGGGCACGAAGGCAGTACCAGGTGCGAATGGCATGCTTTGCTAGGGAGCCCTTGCAGGCGCCACCTTGGCGACACACAAAAGCTGTTTGCTAATCGCATTGGCGCTGTAAATTTTTCATTTCAGGGATTGGGTTGAGTCCTTTAGTTGTGTGTTGCTACGTCGCTACGTCATGGCAGCAACTGGAAGCCAGGACCAGCTTCGAGTCATTTGCCAACGGGCACGGAAGGAGCGGACCAAGCTTGGTCGAAGCTTTGATTTTTATTCAGGCTGTGCAGACACACGCATTTGATGCTGAGGAGAATCGAAAAGCACATGAAGTTGCCTTCCTCGTGCTGCCGACATTTCTTGTCCAGCTAAAAGTAGATGCTGCAACACGGGGCCCTTTTGTCACCCACATGACCGGCTTTTTTGATGGCAGGCAAAGGAGGCGTTGAAGAGTGAGTGCGAGATGCTGAAGCAGACTTTGGGCTTGCATTAGTTTTGTTTATTTTGACTTATGGTGAACCATAGTGGAGAATGTGTTCTGATTGCAGTTGTGCAGAAGCTTTTCAGGCCTTCAGATCGCAAGGAGACCTTAAAGTGCGCCCA